TGCAGCTGCTGAACGCCGCATCCACTTGCACGCTTTCGGAAACATTGTTCAACAATACTTTTCTGCGGACTCATGCACCTTTCCGTTCCCTCACCTTACTTCTCATCGTGGCAATTGAGTCTAACTGAAAACCCAAGTTCGAAGTGTGAAGGAGCTGTTCGGGGCAGTGCATCAGAAGTCTTGAGGAACTTGCCAGTTTTGCCGTGTTTCCTGAGGAACGTGACAGAGGGACTTCCTTCGAGAACAGATCCAGACATTGTGGATCCGCGCCTCAGCTGAGGACGGGAACCAGCAAGCACGACGATGGCCCACAACCCCCAAAGTATATGCAACAACATCATAATGCGTTTGATTCTGGGTTTTCTTCATTTTCAGCTGGTCAAAGTATGTTGTGCTATTGGGGCCTTGTTTTCCTGCCTTTTGACCCAAAAGCAGTTTGCTCCAGGCAACTTTCCAAGAATGGCACATTGACAGGGGCAGCTAGCAGCTAGCAACCCCCAAGCCTGAGTGTGACTTGACACAGATCACCCGGCACCGACTTGGCCGGCGCTGCCACGCCGTAAAATATGAGATAATATGAGTGTTATGTATATTTACAGTTTGAGGACCCATTACCCCTGGCTCCCTTGACACAGGTGTTTCTCCGCCGAAACTTCCACCCACCAAGGCCCAAAATTGTTAGTATTGATTGGAATTTGGTTGGCAGCAAACATCAAAACCGAAGATTATTTCAAATGATCGTCAATGTTGCGCATATTCACGGGCGGGCCCCAAGGCCTAAAATTGTGACGTTCTGGAATTTGGTTGGCAACAAACATGGAAACCCGGGATAGTTTCATATAGTTTCACATGATCGATAATGTACAAGATAAGTCTTTTTCAGGAGCCGTGTGTTGATGTGATCTTTCCACAGGCTCTGTGATTTTGGCCATGTGCTGGGGCTGATCCATCTTGACGCGCTAGGGTTTATTTGCTTTGTGTTGGGATTGACAAATGAGTTTTGTGTGTGTGTGTGGGGGGGGGGGTTGGGGAGTTGAATCCCTTCTTCATACAATCAGCAACAACACCAGAAGGCTACAAACACATGCAAAGGCTGCAAGGACATGCTTGCCTTGCTTATTTGTTTTTGACCTTGGGTGCGGCTTCTTTCTCTAGTTTGACCTGGCGTTGTAGGCTTCCAGTCGACGGATTGAGGTTTGGCATACCAGTGCCCCTGCCAGCGAGGGTCAGCTTGGACGCCTTTGCCCTATTTCAGATCAAACAAAGTTGAGAAAGCGTGCTGTGACTAGTAAGGGTATACAAAAGAGCAAAGTAAGTGAGGCTTAGTGAAAGTAGCTATGAGCGCTCTATGCAAACTGAGAGGAATTTGATTGCTGCAAGAATGATATCTTAACACCTGAGATTGCTTTGGGAGTGGACCACATGGGAGGTGTTCTTCAGGAGCGCTTGGACTCGCCAACATGCTTGGGCACTGGCACATGCACGCAGGATGTGCGGCCTGATGGAGGTGAGGTGTTCATACTTGCAGCAGATGGGAGCATCATTGCGGGCGCAGGCTCGAACTGATGTTGTGTTGGGATTCAATGTAGTTGGTTTGCAGCAGTCTTCTTTACACGGATGCTGTTAGTCTCAATGTTGCAAAAGTACTTGCCTGCCAGCGGTCCTTCCTCTTTGGCATTCTCAATATTGCCACTGAAGGCGTTGTTGCCATTTCTTGCCAGGCTGGCAGGCCAGACCAGCTATTGGCGAAAGTGGCGAATTGCACCCCTGGGCTATCGCACTTTGGGTTTTGTTCGGTTAGTCATTGTCAAAGCCTGCACCTGTGTTATCCTGTAAAGAGGTGTCGCCCAGGAATTTCCCTGAGGCCTCCGACACATTATGTATGTTTGATTCTGCCACAAGAATTATACATGGAACGTGGCAACTGCAGAGTTTCAGGCCCAAGCACTGCCATCACGGCGGGGGAGATCCCTAGGGCTAAACTCGAAAACTCGCCAGAAGCAAGGCAGTGACCGCTTGTAGCAACGTTTGGAATGGGAAAAGGGCTTGACTATTGCGAAGCATTACCGTGAACTTGCAGATGGCATGCCCGTACGGCTTCCCGCTCACCAGGTTCTACAAAGTCACTTGAGGGGGGCTCTCATCTACGACGTATTGCGAAAGTGCATAGAAGAGCTGGACTGCTATTTAACCTTGCTGCAAATCTGACAATGAGCGCCCCACTCCCGTTGAGCTAGGCATGGCCAGAAACCTTCAAAGAAGAGGAGCGTTAAAACGAAGAACATGGACTCCGGCAGATAAATAGGTGGGCCTGGTGCGTTTGCGCTGGCGAGGCAAAAGGCAGACAAAACCGCTGTAACTGTAATCGTGGGTGGCACCGCGCTTATGACAGAGACGGGCTTGGATTGAATGCAGGGTGCAGGGCGGGTCACCCAGAAATCAAAGCATCTCGGTCTTGAAGTTCCACAAAAGCGCAATTCAAAAGACGTTGCCACAATATTGAGCCCATCGTGCAGGAATCCCAAATTTGACTGCATGTGCTATGAAGAACTTCAACCAGCGAGACACTAGCAGAGCATGCAAGATATAGTGATAAGTTGAGGCAGTGACGGGTTAGCCCTTAGCAACCTCGCAACGAACCCATGCTGACCAAGATCTGTGAGATTTCCCTCGAAGCCAGAGGCACAGTTTGGCCCACGTCAGGGTCTTCCAGCTCGGGGTAGGAAAGGCATTTCAAAAGGCAAGCCGTTCACGTGATCATTGGGGTTTGCGCTGGAAGGATTTTGGAAAATGGGACAGCTGTCTAAAATAGTCGGTTTGCATGATGCTGTGTCAAACACGGGCAAACCATGGGATGTCAACAATTGCTATAGTATATCCTGCTGTCTCCCAGCAAAGTTGGGTTTGCTTTCCAGGTACCAAAAGATTTGGGAGATGCAGTTCGAGTGGGCAAAAGAACTCACTCCGGAGGCCTCCAAATCATTCACTTCAAATCACAAAATGTTTGTTTCTCCACGCCTTTGTGGTCAATCAAGTTGGAAGTTAGGTGGAAAGGTGTTTCTGGACAGTTTGTCGATGTTCCAGGCAGTTGTGGCTGAAGACCGCATCGAGTTCATGACTTCTGCGAGTGATTTAGCCAGATTCTTTGTCACCCTTCAGTTTGGGAGCGGCGTCATTTTGTGCAGTTAATATAGTTGATATTGTTGATATATTTTCAAGCAATCCAAAGATTTGGCTATATACTTGGAAAGAGCATGTTTGTTTAAGTAAGAATGTTGGCGGAAACATTGCAAGGTTCAAGCGGCAGAACCACCGGTGCAACAAAATCCATCCCACAGCAACGCCTGACAATTTCAAACCCAGGGCTCAAACTTGCACCCGCATGGTATGTTTAGCGAACATTACATGGCAGGGCATTCAGACTGCCACGTCAAGTTGTTGCCGTTGAACCAAGCGCCTTCGCACACGGAGCAGAATTGCCTACTCCTCAGATCAAAATTCATGAATTCAACCATTATTTTCAAACATACAGACCAGCTGAGGTTCCATGTCCAAATCAACTGTGTATTGGAGTCCTGGAGAGGCAAGCGCGGCAAACGGCTCAGTCTATATGAGTTTTTGTTTATGTTTATTTCGGATATTCTTGAATGGTTTCTCATGATGTGCCCCTTCCTAAATAATGGCATCAGAACATATGTGATAAACGTGTATTAATGGAGTTAGGAGGGCAGTATCATGGCATTGCCACGCGGAGGCAGATGATGCCACAGATTGCAATGTGAGTTAGGTGAAGAGCCCTTTGTTGGTTTTGCGTCTGGTGGAGTTTCAGGTGGTCGAGGACACTGGTTCTTCCAATTCCCATCCCGCTGGAGAAAACCAATTAACAATGCAGACCAGAGTGCTGTCATTAACTCGGAGTCCTCAAGACTTTGGAATATGCTGAAGCAAAGTTGAGGCGGCTTCCAAAATTGCGTTGGCAGTTTTGTTGTAGCGCCAGATAAACAAAACAAGAATAATATATAAACGTTGTTTGAGAAGGGTTGTGGATCTTTGCATGTACACCCCAGCCAATACACAAGGTCTCCAGATTCCAGAAGATGTGCTTTAAATCCCACTAACTCGTTCTTACTGGCTTGAGCCAAACGGCTGTGTTGAAAAGTGCACCGCCAGTTTCTCACAGGCAACCGCGACATGTAATCCACCAAACGACACGCTAAACGCATGATCATGATCGTAGCGTCATGATGCCTATTGGATCCTATTGGATTTTGATTCCTCAATGTCGATGCGCAGTTGAGAATATTCAACATTTGCATGCGGCCCCGGCCCCTAATTGAAAATGCGCAAGGAATTGCAACCCACCACAAACCACATAAGTCAGCTTGTTGATTCCTGCCGTGAACCGAATGGCACGGACCCCTCTCCTGAATCTTCATGCTAATTATAAGTTACGCAGACATAGAAGGTCATAGGCAAGCATTCACTTGTATTGCATTGCACTTGCTATAGACTTGGTATACAGTGGCTCATGTTTGTTTCCTTTCCGGCCTTCGTGGTGTGGCAGGCGAGCCTTTCAAGAGCTAGCCTCAACAAGCTGCTGCAGCCTGGGGACTGCTTTCCACAGCCGGTTGTTGCTGCACAGCCCTTGTTTCTGTGGATGTTTGTTGTGATTTATTCACTGTGCGGTTCACCTAGAGGACAAGCTGGATGTGACTGAAGCGATGATGAAGGCACATCCCTTGACAGTTTGTTCGTGTGCTTTGACGAATGTTGATCTCACCAGCCACATAGCAAAACCATGCCTTTTGGGTGGGTTTGGTGTGGATTCAACTCTGGATTGGGCTGCGCATAAAGCCTTTGAAGGGACTATCCACCCCAGCTCTCATTCATGGCTAAAGTGCCTTTCAAACAAATAAGCTGGCTACGCCTCCAAAGTCTTTCTTGCTTAGCTTATCTTTCAGCATGTTCTTGCTAGCCTGCTTATTCCCAGTGCCCTTGCCCAAAGCTGGCAACTCAAAATGTATTGCGGCAAAGTGAAGCTCTGTCTAGCAAAGAGGATTTTTTATCAGCAGAGAAGGTTAGCTTCCTGTTGACTGTATCCTAATAAAGTGTCCTATTGTATGCAAATAGTAAGAAGCACTTCTACGTAGGGGTCGGGTTCCTTTTGGCAGGAACCCCAAAAAATAACCTACGCTTGGTATTTGCAAAGCAAAAGCATTGCACTCCTGAGGCTGGTTGAGCTTTTGTATTGGGGCCCTTCTAAATCAGCTCTTTGGGCAAGGAACTCAACGTGAAACCTTTATGCAATGGTGAGTAACGTGGAAGGGATGCTTTGTAATTACACACGAGGGTGAAGTCTAAAGATTGGTTGAGTATTTGCAACGAAGTGCTCGTTCTTTTTCCCGATTTATATTATATATACAATATTACAAAAGCCAGCCGATAGTGATAGGCTAGGCTGGAGTTGTCGATGGGCGAACGAAGTGAGTATTAGGGGGTGTGGGGGGGTAGTCGCACAGAGGCCAATCTGGGAGGGCGAGAGAGCAGAAAAAAAGTGCGTCAGAAAGGGAGTGAACATGTACGGTTTTGGGGGTGTTGTGATGCAATGTAATTGACGGCGAAGAGTGCAGCATTAGCATCATGAGGGGCTCAGGGGTCAAATTAAACGGTCTTCTACAAGGTGTGGGAGTTCGGACAACGGGACGCGAAAAATGGTTGGAATTCCTCCAAGAAAGGGAGACGTGCATTTGTGGAGGCTCTGTAAACAGTCTTCGACCAGGGGTGGCAGGGAGGTCTGCTTCACTCAACACACTGTTGTCTTGTGGAAATGATGTGATCTATGAGGCAGTGGGCCAGCTTTGTGTTGCTTGGGGGTGCCCTGTTTTTAATTGTGAAGAGGCCTGTTAACCAGAAGCAAAAAGGCACCCCATATGGGGGGAGGAGGTCACGCGAGGGCGCGATAGGAAAAGAGGTGGGGAGCTCACCAGGAAGCGGGAAGCGCGTCGCTCAACGCTCTGTGGATCCATGATGCATGTGGACGCAATGCCGAGCTCTGTTTGTGCTGTACATAAGATTTCACTCACAGCAATCCCCCAAAGGGCCCCAAGTCTCCGCCTCGGAAAAGAGAGCTTCTATTCGGGAAAGAGTTTATAAATATGATGTGATATATAAGTCTATTCATAACTAAATACTTTTTATAACTGCGAAAGCCAGCCGATAGCCTGGCCTCAGCGATGAGATCTCCACAGGAATCTTTCCTTGATGCTATGCAATCCATGATCTTCGCAGTAGTCTCCCCCGATCCGCAGCCAAGCCAGTTCCTTCGGGGTACCCTTTTTCAGCTTGACAACGCCCTGGAACAACGGTAAGAAGGCACCCCCCCGTACTATGTATTCTGCTTTCTGGTTTCTACCACCCGCCGGCGTGGCTACCGTGTCGACTTCACCCCATTACACTGCCACTCTCTGCGCTGGATGTTAATCACTCAGCTGTAACGTCGGGCCATCTACAAAGCAAGGATAACGAACGGCGCGCAAGCGCTCGTCGATTCCCTACGGGGTGCCTTTTCTCAGCCTCAAAACACCCTTCAATCAAAGGAAAAATGCAACCCCCCAAACCTAAATTTTATGCTTTCAATTACCCCATAACAAAGCCACTCTTTGCCCGATGTGAGACGCTCACTTGATTTGGGCTGTAACATTGGAGTTAAGTCAAAGGACAAGGCGCCCCCCACCAAACCTATACCTTCTGCTTTCTATTTCCATCAGCAGTAGACATCACCGCCATGTCGACTTCCCCACATAACAATACGATCCACTCTTAACAGCACACCAGGTTTTTGAGTCCGTCCACAAAGCACGAGAAACAAACCGCAGACGAGCAATGACTTCGGAGTTCCCTTTTTTCTCTTCCAAACGCCCCTGCGTCCAAAAAAACGAAAGGCCCCACACCCCCCCACCTGTGATTGAAGGCCTGTCATACCTGCGCTCTCGCGTTCTCCCCCGTTGACCATATTGAAGTCTTCTTACGGAGGCTGGCTTTCGTCCCATTTCGTCCCCTCCCTTCTCAAGTATTACAATATATGATTGTTAGCGCCTAAATGTCCCTATATAGTGAGGCTCCTGGCTACCGAAGACTTTTCCAGAGCCACGTTCGAGCATACTCGATCCAGCCCTGTTCTGGCGTATTGAACTTGACCTAACCTGCAGCCAGCAGAGATGGCATGAGTCAAACGAAACGTGGCCAGGATGGGCTGGGTAAGATATAGTCATGCCTGGCGTCGAAGGGTTTGTCCATTGATTGCCTCAAGACACTGGTGCCCTTTGTCTGTAACAAAGCTTACTTACTTCAACACTGCCAAAAATCCTGGGTAGCCTGCAGACTAGAGCTTTACTTGACAACCATACCAAACCTGGGATTGCACACCCTGTTCTCATGACTGGTTGTTCACCAGATTTGCACGTTTCCCCAAACAGCTTTGCTGTGAGGGGCTCTCAATTCTAGCATAAAAACGATGCTGGGACAAGATGATTCCCGCCCTTTGTCTCCCCGTGTCTCCCACGGCGTGTCTGGATGGTGGGCTGCGATGATTTTGCTTTGTCTCCCTTTGTCTCCCATGGCATGTCTGGCTGCTGGGCTCAGATGATTTGCTGTGTCTCCTTTCATCTGCGTGGCGTGTCTGTTTTGCTTTGTTTCCCTTTGTCTCTCTTTGTCCCCCCTTCTCTCCCCGTGTCTCCCATGGCATGTCTGGACGCTGGGCTGAGATGATTTTGCTGTGTCTCCCCTTGTCTCCCATGGCGTGTCTGGATGCTGGGCTGAGATGATTTTGCTTTTCTCCCTTTGTCTCCCATGGCGTGTCTGGATGCTGGGATCGAATCACTTTGCTTTGTCTCTCCTTGTCTCCCCTTGTTTCCCATGGCATGTCTGGACGCTGGGCTGAGATGACTTTGCTTTGTCTCCCTTTGTCTCCCCTTGTCTTGCATGGCTGAGATGATTTTGCTTTGTCTCCCGTTGGTTCCCCAAGCAGCTTTGCTGTGAGATGTTTTCAATTCTTGCTTAGAAACGGGCCTGGGCCAAGATGATTTCTTGCCTTTTGTTTCATTTTGTTTCCGTTTGTTTCTCCTATAGCTCTTCTTGGTTGCTGGTTTTTGGATGCTGGCTGAGATGATTCTACTTTGTCTCCGTGCATAGTTCTGCTGATGGTGGGTTGAGATGATTTGCTTGCGCCCCTCCCCTTGTTTGTCATGGCTCTTCTTGATGTTGGGCTGAGACGCGATTTTAGTTTGTCTCCCTTTGTCGTCATGGCTCTTCTGGATTGTGGGCTGAGATGATTCTGCTTTGGTTCCCTTTGCTTACCTTGTCTGAACGCTGGGCTGAAATGATCACTGCTTTGTCTCCCTGTATCTCCCGGGCCTCTTGTTCTTGGATGTTCAAACCAAATCTTTCATTTTTCAGGTAAGGAATGACCCTGGTTTGACAGGTATGCTTTTGGTTGACTGGGGCTACTGCAACTGCAAGCCACGTTCGCCACGAATATCAAGCTGCCGCTGCTGTTTGGGGTCGACGCTGGTGTAATTTGTGTAAGCCGGCGCAAGAAAGCAAGTACAGATGCGCAAGGGGATGAAAGAGCGCCTCTATACCCCATGCAATTTAAGGATGTGTCAACAAAGTTGTGTATGACTTTAGATTCTTAGATCAAGAAAAACACTTTGTCATTTGGACGCTTGGCTTATTGTATGACACGTCCTTTCTATTTCCGCTTGAATATTCAGAGCAACAGCTGTCGCCATTCTATCAAGGCTGCTACCATTGGTCGCGCTGCTGAGATGGGAGAAGGTTGGGAGCCACCAGGCCTGGAAAAACACGGCCGTTCTCTTGAACCTTGCAAACCATGGCAAAGTGCGTAGTTTTGTCTACTTGCTGGCAACTTGCTGGCCTTGTTTTTGTAGGCATGATCTCGCGAAAGATCGCGGACCTTTTGAGTAGCAGGAACAGTGTCGCACTCGTGCAATAAGAGTGCTGTACAAACATGTGTTGCCCGCGAATGAGTCAATGTTCTGCACAGGAACGTGTTGCCCACATTTAGTTTTGGTCTCCTCAGCAAAGCAAACTTGGCTTCGTGTTGTTTCGAAGGAGTCCAGGCTCTCAAGGCCCAGCTGCTTCCCTTGGAGCATTCGCAGCGTTGCTGAGCGGCGACATAGCTGCAGACTGCGCCGTACAAAGAATAACTGAAAGAACGAAGGTCAAAAACACACAGCGAAGGCAAAAGATTTTGGTGAAGAAGATGCATTTGGATTGACGAAGTGACAGGAGCAAGGACGCTACTAGGGGGAGCAAGGACGCTACTAGGGGCTCCTGGCCATACTACTAGCCTACCAGGGGCTCCTGTCCTGACTACTAGGAGCAAGGCCGCTACTTGGGGTTCCTCGCATCGCAGGACACTACTGGGGGCTCCTGGCCTTACTACTAGGAGCAAGGACGC